CATGCAATGTCTTCCAAATAAACGTTCTGAACTTTCAATTTTTACGTATGTAAATGCGGTTGACAGAGTTTACATTGTGATATGATTACATATGACGGTAATAAAACGTTATGAAGCATATTTAATTGTCATAATCGACAGTGTAGTAATTTGTTACGTGTAATACACGTACTATTTATTGTATCATGAAATAAGATTCAAGTGTATATGAACGATATAATATAAAGACGTAATACAAGTGATAATATCACAAGTGACTTGCGCTTATTTCTTATGCTAAAACTTACAAAAGTTAAAGTAGCGTATATTTATAACAAACTCAGTTGCTTATACGCGAGTAGTGTTGATATCGTAATGACAATAAATGATTTTATAATGTTGTTACCTGGCTGTCTTTACTATTCCAATCTGACATACATGTCCATTCGGAATGGACATAAATTCCAAACCGACATACAACAACCTGTGCACAGTTAATTAGAAATGTACCGAACTGTGGCACAAGCAGCAGTGCGACTCTCAGCGCAGTAACACATTCACAAGTTGTAGTACAAGCAGCAGAATAATAGTAGTATAAATCGTGATGAAAACGGGGTCAAACTCGGATAGAAAAAATTATCTTTTCTGCTGTTTTGTTTTTTTTCTTTCTTTCTCTCATAACTTATTTTTGTTTTTTTCTATTAGAATTAGAAATAATATCGATGCTAAAAATAGATCAGTTAGTAGACGAGAAAGTATATAAGCAGCGTAGAATTCGTTTAGCATCGGTATGTTCGTGTTTGCAGTGTTCGTTCGCTAGTTCCAGTTCAATACATAATTCCTTATATCGAAAACGTTCGATTTTTCTTTATTTCTTATCAATAAACGAGTATCCAACATTAATTCTTCCCTAAATATTCCGTTATACACAGTGACTCTCTTTATAGTGGACCTCCGCTACAGTGGATTTGACTTATTGTGGAGGAATGTTAGAAACTTTTTTTCCTTCTAATTAAACTAGCTCTGTATAGTGTATTTATATAAAAACTATCCGGATACTGGCGAGTGGATGAATATTTTTAATTGATTATAGTCTAGAGCGTCTCTCTATATAGTGTAGGTAGTACAAATTCGATATTATGGAGTCCACAATACGTATTGTGTAGTTTCGTTCGATATAGTGGAGGGATGATAATTGGTTGAATTAGAGGGAAGAAAAGTTCTTCGTTGCTACAGAGGGGAAAACGAAAGATATAAGATTTCATGCTGGCTAGAAGAGGTAGCCAAGAAACGTCCAAAAAACGTGTTGCCTTGACTGGGGCAGAGTATGTAATTGATTAAATTAATAAAATAAACGACCTTTTTTAGTCGTTATAAAAATAGGGAATTATAATAATGCGAGTTTATTATTTTATAAAGACTGAGAGATAATGTGCAAGATTTTTGTTATTAGAACAGAATAATGAAAGATAATATGTTTCAGAAAAAAGGAATTATGTGAAAGGAAAAGAAAATTTCTCTCAACAAAGGCCAACAACTGGCGGATGACTTTGGAAGGATTAACGACTTTAGTAAGATATTTACAACAAAATGATCTCATGGGGATTAAATTTGTAACGATGAAAACCTTGAACAGTTTAAGACATCAAATTCTTCGAAGCAATATTGAAAACAATTGGCAGTCTAGTATTTTAAAATACTTCTAAACTGATAAAAATGATTGATCAAATTACACGTAATGTTTCGTATAGTGTATATCACATGATATATTAATAAACTACACTATATGGTGAGATTTCTTTTTTGTGGATATTCGTTATAGTGTAGAAATCTGTCAGATTTTTTATCTCCACTATAAAGAGAGTGGTACTGTGTATTTCGTAAATCATTAATCCGTCCGTGATCGATCGAGTGGCATTACGATAGTTCTCCCGTGACTATTGCCTCGGCACTATCAAATCCTACCCTTGCTATAGCGCACACCATTTTCAACTTTCACAGAGAGATGTGCTTTTTTACTGTAACCTGATATGATGTTGGTATATATACTTTTACTTTTTGTTCATATCTCTAAGTAGATAAACTACTTAAATTATACTACGGTGTGTCGTCAGCCACATGACAGCGACGTGTCGTCAGACCCACATGACGACGGTGGCCAATTTTTGTTGGGTATTCGTGACCTACATAAAAATGTGATGACAGATTTGCATTCGTATCATCGTTTTTTCATACCTTCTCTGTTAAACACGTCAGCCTGACTAACAACTCTCTCAAATACAACAAAATGGACAAAAATCAAGGTTGTAGAGTATGTGCGTATTAGTTTTTCAATCTGATCAAGCCTATTAATGATGGATATTATTATTTCAGAAATTGTAGAAATGAACATTATCGTGGAAGAGCCTGGTTTGTCCTAGTAAATGTTAGTTAGTTATCCGGTCTAATCAAGTTTACTTACAACCAATACTGTCATGTTAGTTAAAAAAAGCGCTGTTACTGTTCCGAAGTTGAGTCCAGAAGAAGCAGCGATATATAATATGTTGAATGATGCAGAAAAAGTTACCTTTTTGAGGGTACTTGATCAAAAAAAGACGGAAGGAAAAGAAGAAGGAAAAGAAGAAGGAAAAGAAGAAGGAAAAGAAGAAGGAAAAGAAGAAGGAATTAAAGAAGGAAGAGAAAAAGGAAAAGAAGAAGGAATTAAAGAAGGAAAAGTAGAAGGAATTAAAGAAGAGCGTAAAAGAGGAGTATGTTATAAATCATATGTTTGTCATCGAGACTTAAATAGACTCTATAATAATTTTTTCAACGTTTTTTTCTCATCTTCAAAATAGAAATTTCACGTAAATTTCATAATCGCTCTACTCGTCATACTTGTCGCTATATATTTTGATATACGTAATGCGACACGAAAAGACGATGAGTTTGATACGATCTTTGTACACTCCATCGTCTTCGTTCTCCAACTTTTCTGGGCAGCGGCACAAAACATACAAGAGAGACCCAACAGGAAAGTACTATATTATGTAGTTACTTTCCTTCCTATACTACTTGGCATTCTCCTTTCAGTAGTTTTAGGAAAATTTCTTATTACACCAACTGTCTCGATAGCGTGGGCGGGGATTGGTGCATTAACTTCCAATCTCGCAAGAGATTCTTTTCAATTATAATACATAATATCTTTTCGCTTGCTTATTACAAGGTTAGAGGGAAGCGCTTGCCATGCTAAATTATTTTTTTTGTATGCCAATATTCAAGTTTACTTACCCGGATTTGGCTTAGAGTCACTAAGTCTTGTTACTGTAGAATGTCAAACGTCTGAAAAATCCTGCTATGGTACTTGATAGTGGAGCTGAGCTTCCAATTGTATCAGAAGATATTGTTAAACGCGTAAGATAGGTCAGAAAAATATGATCTCAGCGGGGGAGTCGCTACTGTTCCAACAGAATTTATTGGCATCACTCGTAATTTTCCAATAACATTCTCCCCAGGACTATGCGTAAACATTTGGTAGTTGTACGCCCCCCCCCCTAAACCGACATCCAAACCCGCTTCTCAAAAAATATAAATGTGTTGTAGAACTGCGGTAATGATAAAATGAAGGTTTACTAAATTTTATAAGTCAAGAATAAACTTGAAGTAAATTGTGCTACCGCATTTCAGAATGATACGCCTTTGGTATCTGATCAAAGATAGATAGTGATGAGGATGATAATACAGTCAAAGCTCGTTATAATAGAACTACGTTATAATGGAATCGCATTATAAAGAGAAATTTTTTAGAACACTATTTCTAATATTAAAATTGCTAGTTATACATAGGCAGACTCGATAAGTCGGTTTTTGCCTAACTCGGTCAATCTCTCCAACATATGAAAAGTTGCGAGCTGTAAGTCGGTCAACCTCCTTTACTGCTATATGTCGATCATATAAAAATTTTTTTACTTTGATAATAGTCATGAGTAGAGGCGGACGTAAAGTAGGAGGTAAATTAAAAACACTCACTAATAAGAGCTCCGTGAGTACCAACAATTTATTTGTTTCAGGCTTAAGACACTTAAAGCGAGAATAAACGAATGACAAACAAGCATGGATATTTATGGCACGCTTGATATTACTAAATTAGTCACGTGAATTCGATAAGTCGGTCTCTCATAAGCGGTCCGCCGACTTATCGAGTCTGCCTGTGTAATAGATTCTTATAGTAAATAATGGAAATATGGATTCAGCCAATAGGATGAGAGGAGTCAAACTCAATATTATATAATATGTTTTAACACTTGACATATCTAAAAGAATATCTTTAACAACTGCACGGAAACGTCAACTATGTCTTGACCAACGAATTCTTATGAATATACTGCTCAGTCGAAGCGTAAGCGGCCCTCAAAATATGAAAACGTTGAACGCGCCTTGTGGAGTTGGGCAAAGTGTGTTATCCTGTAATCTCAATATCGGTACTGTTTTGAAGAAAAAAGCAATCGGCTTTGCGATGCTTTTCAGTATTGAAGGGTTTAAAGCGTGCGTGCTTTATTAATAGCATTACGGATGAAGATGTTGTACGGATAATTCTAGGGGAAGAGACATAATCGGATAAAGAAGAGGAAAAAGAGATAAAGAAACGGAATTGCTGAAGTTATGTTGCAATTTTTCGAGCAATATTAAGTTAAAATTTTCTGAAATAATTGCATTTCGTCCAATTAAACGAAAGATTGATCTGTGTAGTTTCCAATCAAAGAAACAACTGAGGCGATAGCTTTATCGATAAATAAACTTTGTCGCAGTAATATCATTGTCTATACAGGTGAAACCTGTTTAAACCGGCAGACTTGGTTTGCTGGTTTGCTGATTTTTGCCAAAGACCGGTTCAGAAGATTGTTTACTGTAGAAAGTTTCTAATTAATGAAAACTTGGTGTAATCGCGAGGCGGCCGGTTAAACCCGAGACCGGTTTAATCAACATATATATCATGTAACGATTGATATAACTGTTATTTTGTTGAATGTAATAAACGATCTGAGCAAGTTAGAATATACAATGCCTTTTCTTCGTAATGTTCGATCCATGCGAACAGTATCCGTGGGGCCATGGCTCCACTTTTAGCGATTTTCATTTGTTAATTACTTTACTCATTCTTTCTTCTTTGTTTAAAATTGATAAACTGGGTTGTTGCTTTTTTGGAGGTTGGTTAATTCATTAAAATATTCTTGACTAAATTGGTTATTTTTGATTAATTCTTCGGATAAGACTAGTATTTTTAAAAAAGTTATGGTTTGTTGTTTTTTTGCAGGAGTTGTGAAGTTAGTGCGAAAGCGAGAGGGCGAAACCCCCAATAATTTTATTTGAAGTTGACTTTAGCTAACTAAATTACTTTGTTGAGCTCATTTTTTGATAGCGTCATTAACGTTAATATTAATAGCGTAGTGGATGTTGCTAATCTGGCTTGACGGTATGTGGGGTAATTTGCGAGCGAGGAATCCGTCCAAGCTTATAGGAGAATAGAATCAAGTTGCATAACGACATGGTTTGAATTAAGAGAAATTTTAATTTTTTTAGTGCGCTTGTCTCAAATATTGTGTTATGTAGTGCTACTGAGTTACAATCGCAACTAGCTCTTGTGACTAAGTCTTTCATTTACAAGGAATATTCTGACAACTTTATTATTAAAGTTCATAATATCGCACTATAATGGAATTTCACGTGCAAGAATTAAGAAGTCCATTATAACAAATCATGTACGTTATTGTGGACTCGCGCTATAAAGGCATCCATGGGTTGTGCCCAACTGTCTATTATAACGAGCTTTGACTGTATACCATTCGAAAATGGCATGCTCCTGCGGGTTTTAGCTTAGATTCTGATGATCCATTTTAAAAAAAAAAACAAACAAACGCATGAGCTATGAGGAGTTAGAAAAATCGCTATATACTAAGGCTGAAATATGATCATTGTAAAAAGTTGCAAATACGTTATGAAAAGCTATTTGAATATATTTTCTCCAGAGATGATAACATAAATAAAGAAAAGATAGATCTAAGTAGTAGCTAATAGGCGAGGCATATTTGCTTCATTTTTCTCACCTCTTCTGGCTTCTTTTTCATATAATGCGTCAGATCCTCGCTACTTATTTTTTTTGTAGAGGTATTAGTAAGGTATTGAATCAGATATGCGAACAGATTTAAGCCGAGATTTGGATCTTCTCTCTGTATTGAGAGTAGTAGATTCCAGATGTAGGTTTGGAAAACTATTGCTCTGCAATAAAACATCACTTTCGATTCGTAATCGAGAATTTATTTGTTGTTGACGTTCTCGATTTTCTATATAATCAATAACACGCTTGATACAAAGTTGTTTGTAGCCTTGATAGATGCAATGGCTATTTCATGACTAATGCAAATAATAATCCCACTAGTCCATCGCGAAAGAACGGGCGATAAGAAGTTAACTGATGCTGGACCCCGTTAGCGATAAAAAGCAGATTCCAGTCTTGTAAGCATCATTGCTGCTCGCTGGTAGTATGAACAATCAATCTACCGAAGATTTTCAACCACTACCTTCCATGATATAGCATCATTAAAGCTATGCTGCAAGTTTAACGGCACTCAACGACGGACATACACGAGTGTGTCAACCGCATATGCCAATATTATATTACACTTCCTCACATCGACGTGCGACTAAATATTCATTGTAGTAATCGAATGTCGCGTCAAATAATTCGATCATGTGTCATCGAAAACGTGTTATTTTATGTCGCATACGCCTACTACCAAATACAGATACGTTGTGGCTGGATAGCATGGTGGCACTCAAAGAAAATCCACCAACTAAATAGCAGACAGAATGACAGATTTTTGAACAGTTACACTTGTTAAAAATAATCCCAAAACCCGAAATGTGTTTTTTAACGGTTAATTAATTAAGACAAACAGCATACTGGGCAGAAATTGTGTAAGTTATAACCATCGCAGTAATCATACAAACAAGGTAAATATTGTGGTGTTACAAATACGAACAATTTCTTTATTATTATATTAATATAGATTTGTACACAGTAAAGTCCGCTCTAATGAACGCCCGGTTTAACGAAGATGGCTTACAATGAAGCTTTTATGGAATACAGTCGAACCCCGTTATACCGAAGGCACGGGGGAGTCATATATGATTCGTTATAACGAGGAATTCGGTAAAACAA